TCACATCCCCTCACCCTGCCCACTGCCCCCTGAGAGGCTCCTACCCTCAGATGTCCTGTTTCAGACCCCCCAGGAGTCTCATTTCTAGGCTCCTCCAGATATCCTAAATCAGAAATAGGGGCAAGCCCAGGAAGCTTCTTCACAAGGTAACTAAGTGATTCCTATACAGTTTGAGGTGTGGTTCTTCACACCTACCTGTCTGACACATTTGTGCTGAAAGCCACCTGCAGTTTCGTGCTGATCAAGAAGAAAACCACCAGACACCCCGGTAACCTAAGACAGGGTCGGGACTAAGCATTTCCTGGATGTCCAGCGAGCTGTGTGACACATGGAGGCTTCTGCTTACCCATGTGGTAGGTGGAGGGTCTTGGCCTCTTTGGCTGACCAGAATCCACCGTCTCCTTTGGCCTCTTTCCCGAGCTATGAACTCTGGTTAGTGATGTTGCTGTTCTCTCTCCCTTAAATGTAGTGAGGATCAAGTGAGGTTGTCAGGGACTTATGATAGTCAGAACCTTAGTGATCATGCAGTCTACCCTAAACTTTGCAGAGAAGGAAACAGGCCTGGAAAAGTTAGATATTTTCCCAGTCTGAGAGAGACCAGCAGCAGGACTGGCCCTAAAACCCAGAGTTTCTGACACTCTAGGCTTTGTACACTACTCAGGCCATCTCCTGTGTCTGAGAAAGCACCTTGAGAAGCATTCAGGAGTGTGCAGATGTACTTGGGGGATCGACGAGTGTGTTATGAGCCTACAGTGCCAGAAGGGGTCTCAGATAGGTGTCCCCGGGATCTAAGGCAGATGTCACTGGGACATCCACAGTCACCCCACACTTTGGCCCCACAAGAACCCAGGTTCCCTGCCTCTCTCTTTTCCAAATGTTCTTCTCCAGAATTCATTTATTATGGAACCCAGCAAGTACCAGGCTCTGGACTCGTACCCCACCCCACCCCCAGGTTACTCACCTCCACTCCCTAAAATCAAACAACAAGGTCTGTTCATTATGAATTTCAGTATGATTTCCATGTTGATTTCCAAAATGAGTTCAGCCCCAAGTGATAAGCCACGGGCAGGTGTATTCAAAGAGGATATCCTAGCAGCAGACACTTGTGTGAGGGAAATTAGAAAACTTGTACTAAGGGTCAGAGTCAGGGTCAGGCACAGAAATGGAAGACAGTCATCTGGGATAACCACTTTGTTTCTCACAGTTTCTCAGGCTGTGGCCCTGACCTTGATCTCCCCCTAATCTCCCCCACACCGGGGATCCCCCCTGTGTAAGATTTCTGTTCAATAAAAATAAACAAATAAAGCTAAATTGGACAGTTACCTGTGAACACATTAATATTCAGACAGTTGCCAGTCATATCGATGGGGAAATGTTATTGACTTGAGACTTTGTCAATTCTACTATTAGAAGGTGCCTTTTCATATTTTTAAATTAATAAACCATGGAATAACTTATGCCCATAATGATTTAATTACACTTTTTAAAGGAAAAGCAATTTTAAACAAGATTGACTATTTTTTTTAATTAGGAGCATTGCCCATGAGGTAAATGAAGTAAAAATATGCAGTTTTGAAGGAAACAAAATCCATGTGGCAAAGCCAACAAATCTAAAAAGAATATCTACTTAAATTACACTATTCTTATTGAGAACGTGAATCTCTGACTATAACTTGGGGCAGAGTAAAAGCTCATTTAGGCCTCTCTCAAGTGTTAGGAAAATTCACATTTCTTCCTTAAGAATCCTTGGATTTTGCAAAAGTCTAAGGAAGCTAGCAATTATTCACCAGCTTTTCTCAGCTCTTGGTCTGGTACAGAATCACAGTTGTGGAAGGGTGAGGCAGAAGGATCGCCAAAGCCCAGAAGGTCAACTCTGGGGTAGCCGTGAGCATGCCACTGCCCTCTAGCCTGGGCAATGGAGTGAGACTCCAACTCAAAATAAGAAAGAAAAAGAATCACAGTTGTGTATCTCACCCGTGTGTGTGTGTGTGTGTGTGTGTGTGTGTGTGTGTGTGTATGTGTGTGTGTGTGTGTGTGTGTGTGTGTGTGTGTGTGTGTGTATGTGTGTATGTGTGTGTGTGTGTGTGTGTGTGTGTGGTTTGCCTGTGTTTTATTGAAGCAGTAGTTCAAGAAAGATCTAGGGACCAACCTCCATCGGAGTTACCCAGGATTCTTGTTAAAAGATGCAGATTCCTGGACCTCACACCTCACCTGCTGATTTGAGGTCTTGATAGGGGCTTTATGCCTGTAATCTGCATTTTAGTAACTTTTTCACATGACTATCATACACTGTGTTCTTTGAGAAAGACTGCTTTGAACTATATAGCTGATGAGTCTAACTGCAGTCACAGGTTTAAAAAGATAGTAAGTCACAGAGAAGCGAAGGGAAAAGGAAGTCCATAACACGTACTGGAGATGCTGCAGATCTATTAACGAATTCCACAACTACCCCAGGTTTTATGATCCTTGTTTTTACAGTGGAGGAATCTGTGCACAGAGAGGGATGACACAGCTGCAGTTGCACAGCTGGCATGCCTGGAACCACAATTTCAGTTCAGGACAGGCCGACCCCAGAGCCTTTGCCCTTGCTACTAAAATAGAAGGGACATGGCCTGCCCTCAGGGAGTAGACGGTCCCAGGAGAGGGTTAACTCAATTATACTAGGAAGGGTTAAAGATGAGGGAGTGGCCAAAACACATGGTACTGATTGTAAGAGCAGGAAGGACAAGAGGGCTTTTCCTTCCAGGGAGAGTAATTACATGAGCAAAGGTAGAAATTAGCCCTTTACCAATTTAGAAAAAAAAAAGTGCAGCTCACTGCCACATTCCTTTAATTTTACATAATTCACTCTTTGAGGCTGAAGCAAATCTGACTGGTTTTCAAAGTGAAAATAAAATACAAAAACGGTTCTTGGAGTTATTCCTAAATAGAAGTTGTCCCTAATCCTAATGAAAATTACAAAACAAAAAGAGAATTAATATATTTTGTAATTTTTTTTATCTCGGGGTAAATAATGCAGCTGTCAACACCACCAGTGAGTATCATCAGGTTAAATGGAAAAGGGTTAAGCACTTCAATTGTGAGACCAGTGAGAAGATAGTCTGGAGTGGGACACGGGTTGTATGAGGTCAGCCATATTGCGTTACTTCTGTCATTATCCTGAGAGTTTTATCAGTTGGCTATTGTCCTGCAAATGATACTGGAGAAGAGTTGGTTTTTTGTGTTTTTTTTTTTTTTTTTTGAGTTGGAGTCTCACTGTCACCCAAACTGGAGTGCAATGGCCGCTCCCAGCCACCGTAGCCTCTACCTGCTGGGCTCCGGCGATCCTTCTGCCTCGGCCTTCCAAGTAGCTGGAACTACAGGCGCGCACTACCACGCCCGGCTAGTTTTTTATTTATAGTGGAGATGAGGTCTCTCTAAGTTGCCCAGGCGGGTCTCGAACCCGCGGGCTCAGGCAATCCACTCACCTCGGCCTCCCAAAGTGCTAGGATTACAGGCTGAGTCACCAAGCCCGGCCTGGAGAAGCTGGAGAAGAGTTTTAAAAGTAACAATTTTCCTTTGGTGATAGAGGCAAACTTGTAATTGTAATTACTACCATTGCTTGCAAGTCAGAGAACAAAGCAAAATGAACTTCATTCAAATTCTGACAGAAAACCTAACCCATGAGTAAACATAGATTCCCTTCTTTTTCCAGTGCCATCCCAAAATGAAAATTACAGTAGTTTTTGGGAAATAAGCAATAAAATAATAATTATTATGATTAACAAGTGGGTATCTAGCTAGTTAGTGAGCAGATGGTGCATTCACTGACAGAAGCAAACAAGTGTCTCTCTTTCACATGTCAAGATTGTTCTCTGTCCCACACCATGAACATGGCCTATCACAGTCATGGGAAAAATAAAACCTACCAGTCAGGGACTCATTATAAATGGCACACACACACAGAGAAAATAACACTCAAATAAATCTTTTTTTTTTTTTTTTTTTTTGAGTTGGAGTCTCACTCTGTCACCCAGACTGGAGTGCAGTGGCCACTCCCGGTCACTGCAGCCTCGACCTGCTGGCCTCCGGCAATCCTTCCGCCTCAGCCTTCCGAGTAGCCGGAATTACAGACGCGCGCTACCACACCCGGCTAATTTTTTGATTTTATTGTAGAGATGAGGTCTCGCCTGCCCAGGCGGGTCTCGAATAAATCTTAATAAATACAGACAGGAGAAGTCTTGAAGAAGAAACACAAATTTGTTATCAGACTGTTACCATGGGACAATGAGGTATAATTTTTTAAATGCTTTTTTAATCAAAGCACAGTCATGCACCGCTTCATGACGAGAACGCATTCTGAGAAATGCCTTGCTAGGTAATTTCATGGTTGTGTGAACATTGTAGAGTGCACTTACACAACCTAGATGGTGTAGTCTACTACACACCTGGGCTATGTGATATAGCCTATTGCTCTAAGGCTACAAACCTGTACATCATGTTACTGTACTGAATAGGCAATTGTAACACAATCATACTTGTGTCTCTAAACACATCCAAAGGTACAGTAAAAATACAGTATTATAATCCTATGGGGCCACCAGTGTATATGTGGTCCATCTTTGACCAGAATATTATTATGCAGCGCATGACTGTATAACATGCTCACATCAAGTGCATACATCTTATGTGTACAGCTTAATAGGCTACAACATAGATGCACTTCAATGGCACTATCACTAAGAGCAAGATACAGAACATTTCCTATACACACGAGGTCAATGGAGGATGCCTATTTTTTTTTTCCTTTACCTTCCTTCTCTCATCTATGTTTTCTCATTTGATTTTGTAATTTGAAAAAAAATCTACATTAAATTAAAAAGTAAAGACAGTGTCTTTCAGTTGCTGATAATGTTGGAAGATGTTGCATTGTGAGTTTTAGGTGGATTCTGTCATTGTTTGACTGACAAAGCCCCATCTCCATCACATTGTCTCTTCCTCCTCCTCCCTTTCCTCCCTAGGGCCTGCAGTACATGGAGCTCATCCCCAAGGAGAAACAGCCAGTGACAGGCACCGAGGGTGCCTACTACCGCCGGCGCCAGCTCATGCACCAGCTTCCCATCTATGACCAAGACCCCTCTCGCTGCCGCGGACTTTTGGAGAATGAGTTGAAAGTGATGGAAGAATTTGTCAAGCAATATAAGAGCGAGGCTCTCGGTGTGGGAGAAGTGGCCCTTCCGGGGCAAGGTGGCTTGCCTAAGGAGGAAGGGAAGCAGCAGGACAAGCCAGAGAATGCAGAGACTGCTGCCCCTACCACCAACGGCAGCCTCGGCGACCCAACTAAAGAAATGGAATACGTGAGTACCCCCATGCCTCCTGTCTCTGAAGCCACACAGGCCCAGGGCTGCACAGTCAGGGTTCCATCTCTCCACCTTGTTCCCTCACCATGCATTTATGTCTGAATTCATGCATTCAGCAGACATTTGTTGCTCATTTCCTGTGGGCCAGGCACTGTCCCACGGAAAATAATACAAAGTCACTGCCCTTGAAAGGCTCATAATCCAGTGGAGCTCACAGGTAACCAAACAACTGCAGCTTAAAGAAAGGGCATGCAAACCTGCTTGCTTGGTGAAAGGGTGGACTTCAAGGATTTGTGAGGCATACGCTGGCCTCTGAAGAGTGACCAGGGATCATTCAAGCTTTCAGGCTTTGAGGGAAGAATATATACCTCCTTAAAGAGTTGGGCATGTGCAAAAATATTTAAAACCTGTGAGTTCAAGAGTGCATGGTACAGTCAAAGGATTAAAGAAGTGCCGCATGACTGAAAGTGTGGTGTGCTTGGGGAGCCAGGGACACAAAACAAGTCAGGGCAGCAGGAGCCAGTTTCTGGGAGAGTTATACCATCCATCCATTCGTCAATCAAACACTGATTAGCTTGCATTATCTGCCACACCCCAGAAAAATCAAACAGAGGACACTGTCCCTCAAATGCAGAATGCCATGGGCTTTCATCTTTATTCTAAAGGCATGAGCAGGAGTTCCATCCAAGGTATCACATGGTCCAAGCTGTGCTTTCGAAAGTTTCCTCTAGTAATGTCTGAGTCCATTTTCTGTTGCTTATAACAAAACACTGGAAACTGGGAAATTTGTAAAGAAAAGAAATCGATTACTTACAGTTATGGAGACAGAAAAGTCCAAGGGTGAGGGGCTGCATCTTGTAAGGGCCTTCTTGCTGGTGGGAACTTTCTGCAGAGTCCTGAGGTAGCACAGGGCATCACAGGAGAGGGGACTGAGCATGCTAGCACAGATCTCTCTTCCTCTTCTTAGAAAGCCACCAGTCCCACTCCTATGGTAACCCATCATTCCATTAATTCCATGAACAGATTAATCCATTCATGAGGGCAGAGCCCTCATGACCCAATCACCTCTTTATATAGTGGAGTGAGTCACTGGGAGCCATTCTGAGCAAACACAAAGAAGAAGCCAATGTTTGGGAGATGAAAGTCTCATGGACTGGTTCAGCTTAAACTGCCCCACAGAAAGCAAAACAAATAGTAGCTTGAGGCTGGTACCATGTGGGGCTGGTGTTCATGATATTTCTGACCCAGTTCCTTCCTTGCCTTTTGCTCCCCCTGCCCCCATCAGCCAAGTGGCCTCACTTGCCTGTATGTCATTTGGCATTTGGAGATAAAAGTCCCAGCACATGGGGGTAATATGTTTGACATTATCTGCCTTGCTGGGACAGGCTGGTAGTCATCTATGAGCCAGATGACCCAGGGATGTCAGCCCAAAAGACACTGCTGCCACGTCCAGAAAGGGCTGGGCTCTTTGTCTTCTGGGGTCACTCAAGCTAGTCATCCAAAACTTGTGTCTTTCTTCTCCAACCCCTGTCTTGCTAGCACCCTCTGGGATTGCATTCCAAGAATGTACAGCCTCACAATGTTTTATCTGAGAACTCTAAGTCAAAAGAACATTTATTTTTTCTACTACAGATTTGGTAATGACATTTCAAAGACCCATTTCTCAGGACGAATACTTGCCCTAGGGATGTAAACACAATTAGGTCTAGTTACCATAGTCCATAAACTGGTCTCCCTGCCTCACTCCAATCTTGTCCTCAGTCCACTCTCAAATATCTGTCTAAATACTAGATTATTCCAAGTTGGAAGGAAACCTTTTTAAGTCTCTGTTGTGACATTTGCAAATTGCCATTCCCATGAGAGATATGCAGATCTGAGAACGTATTTTATCCTTGATGGAGCTCTACACATTTGTTCGGTGTGGAACTGGGGCAAAGGTAGCCTAAGATCCTGGGTCCTTACCGAAAGCCAGCTTTAGGAAACACTTGTGACACTCGGGGAGCATTTAAATAGTATACTAGACAGTAGACAGCAAATTCCACAGTCATAAAATAAGTAGGGAATCCAAAGGAAACCATTATTATTGGTTGGTCTGGTCTGGGCTGGATGTGGAAGACAGATTTGTCCTTCCTTGCCCTAGCCACAGTTGTAATTCAATAACTAATTATAAAATTCTGAGGTCATGTTCATCTCTGTATCTGCCATAGGTGTCATTGGTATAGATAGCAGGCACTCATAAATATGTGATCCATGAATGAATAAATGAATGTTTGAACTCAATTGAGCCTTGAGAGATGAGATCAATTTCAGTGGCCATTTTGCCTAGGAGGATGGTGTGATTCCAATTCCACATTTATTAAGCCCCTGTTCTATACCAAGCACCCCACTCACACTGTCAGGGTCTCTCTTTAATTTTCATAGTTGCCTGGTAAGGGTGAATTTTACCAAACCCATTTTCTCAGTGAGGAAGGAATTTGAGATTCAGAGACAATCGGTAACTTTTCCAAGATCTCACCATTTCTATGGTGCAAAACCTGGATTCAATACTCTTTTTACTATGTGATGCTGTGTTAAAACACTGCTTGTTTGTTTCAGGGAGAAAGGAGGCTAACTGTTCTTATTTAACTCCCTGTTGACCTCCTTGAAGCAGGGGAGTGAATCCTGATAAATATATCCAGACAGCCTGAGAGGCCAGAGGCCCTGTGTCCCCAGCACCCCCGCCATTAAGTGTAGGCATGGGCTGTGCACCCTGAACCGTTTGTCTTACTCCTGGCCATCCTGTGTGCTTGTGTGCCTCTCCTTTCTCATAAGAGGGCAATGTGGAACAGTTGCCAGAGCCGAGCGTCAGACAGGAAGCCTGATTTCTGCTACCCTGGCGAAGGGCGATGAATTTCATGAGAAGTGGTCAGGGCATTCTACTTGAGAATACAGGTGTGTGGAGGAAATTGTAGGACTTGGCCTGACACCCCCCAAACCAAACTTACGGGGAAAAAATGAAGGGCAAAAAGAGAGACCTGTGAAACATACTAGAACTATATTGGTAACACCTGCCTATTCGTCATCATGATAGTGTTCATTGTGACTGCTGTTACCAGCTTAGCGGGCATGGCTCTGAACCAAGGACAGTACTAAGCATGATAATATCTTACTTAAAGCTTACAACCACCCAATGATTTCAAGAGGTTGTGTCTCCTCAGGCTGTAGGGTTTTAGAGCTGAGATTCAAACCAACGTAGCCAGAAACCAAGTTCATGTTCTTTCCCATTTCCCAAAGCTTATTCCTAGGAGAGCTAATTGATATTTTGCCACAAAAGAGTCTTGTGGCCAGTTTGGAAAACATGAGAGTGAACAAAACAGCATGCTTCTTTATAGCAGGTCTTCTCAGAGACTTTAGTAGGCCCATGAAGTGGTTCTTAAACTAAAGTCACCTGAAAGGCTTGTTAAAAACCAGAAGTCTGGGTCCCACCTCCAGAGTTCCTTCTTAGCATGGGTGGGGTGAGGTCTGAGAACCCATATTTCCAATAAGTCCCCAGGTGATTCTGATACCGGCCAGGGACCATGGTTTGAGGGCCACTGCTCAGCTTGTCAAAAATTACCTTAGATGTGAGCTCAGCAAAAATGATGTCACCAATGTGGTATATACTGAGTCCAGGAGATGATAGCATGGGTACTTTCTAGATGTATTTGACCTCCTGGCTTTGTTTATACGTTTATTTATGAAGAGTGGATTACCTCAAGGAAGCCCACCTTGAGAATGCTGCACCGTACGCCCTGTTCCTTTCACATTCATGGTGAGTTCTGGAAACACAGGCATAGAATCTACCACATGGCTTTATACCCATCCAACCATCCCGTCCTTAACGACACTAAGTCTCTGTAGTTGAGGCCTATTATGGGCTTCACTTCCCTCCAAGCTGCTCTCAGTATTGGTTCCCTCACGCTGCTTTGTCATCCTTCCTCTGAGACCTCGGGAGGGGCTTTGATGGCAAGGTCAGCCTGCTGCGTCCTCCCACCCAGCCTGCCACCAAACTGTCCTCAATGGGAAGTATTATTATCCACACAAGAGAAGCATTGTTGTCAAAAAGCCTTTTCCAAATTGCTGGAGAGGAATTCCCGCCCAGGGACTGTGTTGTGAGGGAACCCAGGTAACAGCAGGCCAGCCAGGTTGCAGGTCCCAGCATAGTCTGGTCAGCCAGGCTGCAGGACACGGTGCGCCATCTGAGCTCGGCTTACCCAAATGGCTGGGACTGTCCGGTTATGCAGATCCGTCCAGTTATGCAGACCTGCACCTCCAGCCTTCCAACCCCAGGCATTCAGACAGGCCCCACTGACAGGATGGCGCAATTTAAAATTAGTCTTGGCACTTCCGTCTGCTTGAAAAATGAACCCAAGAACTGTGGCCGCCCACGCCTACCTCAGGGCAGTCCTCTGAAAACGGCATTATTATCCTAAGGTTAGGGGAGGCAGGACACCATGGGAAATGCCTTCAGCCACCAAGCCGTCAGAGTAATCCCTCTTCATGAGGAAATACCAGGCCAGAAAAATCTGTCTCAGACTACTAACTCACTCACTGTCACTCCCTGAGAAGCATATCCCTTTAAATCCCTGAAGCCAATTAAAACCAAAAAATATTTAGTCTCCCTCTCTTTCCCTCACTTGTCCCATTGTGCAGGTGTGGAGTGGGGAGAAGGAAGAAAAACTGAGACTTGGGAGGACAGAGGGGACACCATTAGGACACAGCAGGCACTGGGGGGTCTCGATCTCTTTAAGTTCTTATGACAACCAGTAAGAGGATTTGGGGTTGTTATACCCATTATGCAGATGAGGAACCCAAGGCAAGCGAGGTAACTGGCTTGCTGATGAGTGGTGCAGCTCTGTTTCAATCCTACTCTTTCTGTTTCATTGGTGGTATGGAGTCTGAGTAGTCTTGGGGAGGGGCTAAGGCAGAGTGGATCCAACAATGCAGGGAGTGTGTACATGAGTGTTTAGGTTTGCTGG